AGTTTGATGCTGGTGCTGGAAATCTCAAAGGTCTCAGGGTCAACCCGGAGGACTTCTGTGAAGGAAAGATTGCCAGAAGGTCACTTTATTCCCTTCCCACCCCAGCCATGCAAGGATACTGCATTCAGATAATTTGCTGATCACCCAGCTCAGTGTGAGGCAAAGTGAGAGACTCAAGGTTGTCACTGCAGCTCTCTCAAAGGGGAGCAAGGAGGAGCTGGACAGGAATGGATGTGGGTGAATGAGTGGACTACTACTGTTCAAACATTTTCCCCACTGATTCAAAACTGAGATGTCTGTGTGTCCCAAAATCTCTACAGTCCATCAGGTACAGCTCTGTTCTCCCTTGGAGGGAACATGAATGCTCTAAGCTGTGAAAAGAGGTTGTTAAGCCTGCACCCACCATGCCACAGAACCTGGAGGGGCCCAGCCCACACGGAGCAAGCTCTGGTACTCACAGCTGTACTGTGTGAGAGGACACAGGCAGCAAAACCCTCTGATCCTGCTCGAACACCGATGCCATGTGCTGGCCACAAACTCCACCACAAACCCCTCTCCCATGCGTTTCTCCCTTGTGCACATGCTCTTGCCAGAAGCCCCCAGGGAGACCCTTATCACCAACACCCCAGTGGTGGCCTGCGGGCTGGACTTGACACCTGCCATTTCCCTGGGCAGCATGGAGCCCAAAACCTCCTGTGCCCCACACTCTGCTTTCTTTGCTCAGGAAGGGCAGAGCAAGGCAGCCAAGAGGGCTCCTGATCCCTTCCTTACCACTGCACTCCACGCTGGACTGAATGCGGACCCAGACACCTCTGGAGTTTCTTCCAGTCCAGACTTCTCTGTGTAAAGGTTTCCCAAGACTGATGGACTGTACTTGACTCGAACATTTGACATGGGTGAAGGATGGTTGGAGACCTTCAGGGCAGCTCAGCATCACTTCTTCATTCTTTGCATAATTCTTCTGGTCTGGTAACAGCTGGAGTCTGGAATCCCATGGGGGCTTTTGGCATCCTTCTGTGAGAGGTGAAAGAGGGTGTTAGATGGGCTGG